AGCTGTTCCCACCCTGTGGATCGATGTACATTGCATATCAGAACAATGATACTGCAGTTATGATGGTGGGGTGGTCGCGGCAGCTGGTGGAATAAGCATTTTGAGCCTTTGGATGAAAGCATACCTCATTGACTGGGGCCCGTTGATAGCCACCTCTGCAACTTGCCGCTTGGCAACTTCTGTGAACGCATCGCGGGAAAGGGAGTGCATCGTCCCCCTTATTTATGGTATCACCTTAGCCTCTAACAGGCCGTAGCCCTAAATCAATCGCACAGTAGCCGAGACAATTCTTCCAAAACGAGCTAAAAGCTCAGAAGTCATAGTCATTGGTTGCAGGCAGGCAGGCAGGCTTATGGTCTGAGACCGAATTGGGTTATCATTCTAGACTAGGCGTGTGAATCAGGGAGACTACTCACTGCAACTATGTGCTGGTCACAGACAGTTTGGCAGCAGCAGCACGTGAGCAAACAATACCCACAAATGAACCAACCCCGAACCGAATTAAACGAAGTTGTTATCAGTTTATCGATGAAAAGAATCCACAATTACTCGCAGCCCATGACGGGAAACTACATGCGTCAGTGTGCCAATTGGGCAGTACAAACTTGGTAGGAAGCAGAGAGCTTCGAGTGATAGCCGATTTAAGCAGGTCAGAGAGTAGAAGAGAATCAAAAGTGCGGACCACTTGTCTGCTTTATGGAGCACAACCCTGAGTAAACAAGCTACCAACATGCAGTGACAAGCGAACTGCGAACGGGCCACTCGCACACAATGCTTCCGTCAGCAAGCCAATTTATGTGGTGCCTTCGTCCGATCTAAATTCACTCCTTTTTTGTACACTGTTCCACCTGGAGCATGAGATCGGCATAAGTAATTCTAAAAACCCAGCTCCTAAACAGTCAATCAAGTTGTTCGAGAATCCATTGTGCGCAAAACGATTGGAGCTACATGAAGAATAAGAGCAGATGCAGCATCTAATAAAGCGTGGGTCTTACCATACGCCCATTACATATCCGTAAGTCTCACATGAGCAACAACTTATTTCCCACTTAGCCAGCATCGCGACAATCCTTGATAGCTGGCTTCATGACTTCCTTGTCAACAAACTAATGGTCTCGCACAAGGAAGAATATCCGCAACCTCTAGTTTGGACAAAATGGATCCATTAGTTGCACGTCAATGGCTTCAATACGTTACATGTAAGGAATTCACGAAACTCAGAAGAGTGAACATACTTTGTCTGGCGTACTCGCCCGAAATAAACGTCTCTATTTTCAACATGTTCTATTTTATATTACCACTAGGTATGAGACGTTGATAGCGATATAAGTGGGTAGTTCCAACTAAAAACCTGATTATGTATCTTCAGTAGCAGACGCCTTAATGAACCGGAAGACAAATAAGCAAAAAAACCTTCTTCATGTCAGGAACTTTAGGCCACCTGTACACGAATTCTCTCATTACACTGGAACGTCACAAAGGACATAGGATAGGGTAACAGGTCACACCTAGGTATGCACAAAGATGAGTACGGACCTATTTGAGAAGCCGATTGTGAAACTAGGTTTCTTGGTTTGCCTACACGAAACATACTTTGTTTGATTCACACGGGCTTCAGCTTGGAGCCTTACACGAAACATACTTTGATTCACACGGGCTTCAGCTTGGAGCCACCTGCTAGTTTTCATGTGCACCCAACTGGATCAGCTATTGACCACTCCAAATAAATATCAGGATTTATGTGCCAAACGGCTTCCTAAAGGTAATATAGGTAGCCCTGAACTTTCGGGTGACTTGAAGAGCGAACAGAAGAAAACCACACCTGATCGACGCCTCTGCCCGGTCAACCAGAAAGGTCACCCGATTGTCCGTGATGATATATGTAAGACATCCTGCTCCTAAGAATAGTGCATTGAATAAAGCACAAATAAGGGGTGGGTCTCGCGGCCGCGGAACGTTTGAAACAAGACGGATGCAGAAGAGGGATTAGAATACCCTAAAAGCCATAAAAAATAAGTAAGTTGCTGGACTCTTTCTGAGACACGATACCTGAGTCGTTCAAGCCCTGCCCCCATCCCACCATGGTACAGTACTTTATGACGGTAATCGACTCAAAAATGCTAGGACGTGGATTAGTCGATGGCAATAAAAGCGTCGGCGTTGATTCGGCTCAGACTGACCCCGGAGAGACGGTTCCCTGGGTATGATCTAGTCTGTTTGAAGCTTTATCTGCCCACATAGGTATCGAAAACATCGGGTGCCATATGTCAGTAAAATGGGCGGTCACATATGGTAAAGATCCTCTCTCATTGAAATTCATAAACACCAAACCCAGCCTATCACAATGGGGAGGGATGGGAAGCCGTTACTACTTCCCTATTCAACCACGAAGAGAAAACTGATGGACTTTGAAGGCACTGAGTAACCTGCTACTGAAGATCACGGAGGCCATAGATAGGGATCTCTGAGAGAAAATAAATTTGATGAGACGATTGGATAAGTCACAGGGGATGTGACTGTAGATTTAGAGAACCTTAAGATTGGTGTTTCTTGCCCGGCAATGCACAATAACACAATCGTGACAGACACCGAGTTACGTCAGATGTCTGAATGTTTTATTTCCTCAGATAACTGCAGCTTCGGAATACCTTCAACTGAGGCTTAGCGATAATTTCAGCGCGAAAGCTCGGGCTAACAATGACGATTGATGACGCACGGATAACGGAGAGCACCTACTTAAGGTGTGTGCCGACCAGCCAGTTCCTGGTTCCAGAACAGCAGAGATCGCTTGACAGCGTGGTGCCTACCAAAGAAGCAGCCACGAATACAAACAGACCGCATCGCAGTCAATTACCGGTGACGATGATAGGCTACTGCCTTCGTTGCTTCTGGTATGCTACCATAGACTCCGATCACACGCTTGTCCGCTGCATCCTTCCAGGCCTACGCAAAATAAGCGCGAAAGCCTCACTTGGCCATTGGGAAGCCAGTAGACCCATAAATCAAACGAACTTATCGGGACCGGCTCCTCGAACGCCTACCGGATGTTCCGACTGAGAACATTAGCGGTCACTGGCAACGGGCACCATAAGCGCTACTCTATGCCGGACCTTCTGTCTGCGGTATTACCCACCCAAACTTATCGAAACACTGGACTCTGACAGGACCGTGACTCTGCTGGAGATCCGGGCCGTAATCACAACTCAATCCGATGTATCAACCAACATCAGGTGAAACTGCGTGTCCATACAGACCGAGAAGCTTAGTGGGTTCGAAAGGCCAAAGAAATGGAAGGTGACAAAAATTCTAGAAACATATGAAGGCTTACAGCTTGATTCGCTCGACTGGTCTTCAAATGCCCCTTGTCAGCGAAATTATCAGGGACCAAAAGTGCCCCCTGATATCCAGCCTTTAGCCTTAGAAGTGTACATCTCTACTCAAGCGTTATTGTGCTCCTGGCTCCGACGAACTTCCTCCTGCTCTATTCAATGATGGCCGTACTTACCTAGCCTATTTGGATTCAACTGGGACAGACCATCAGAGAAAACTAGGGTGAATTGAAAAGTGCTCACTATAGACATGGTGGCGACGGTGTTAGTTTAACTCTCGTAACAAGGCTTCTAGCGTATTATGGTGGCAGGTGAAACCCGACTCCTGAGAATCAATTGAAACTTCGACCGGGTAAAGGCTGCGTTGACATCTTCACACTCCTTCAGATGTCAGAGCAACGCCATACGTACAAACGATCTACAATCTTGGTGTTCATTGGTTTCAAGGACGAGTTTGATTCTATCGATCGGTCGGTTCTGTTAACAATACTTGCACTATACGTGCACATTATCCGATCCGTATAATCACATACTCCAGAGTATGCAGGAGTGTATGGTTAGCTCTTCAGAAGACTCCCTACAAAGTGGTGTCCGACAAGGGTACCCGCGTTTCCCATTCTTGTTCAACTTTATCATCGAAGAAATAGTGAAAACGCTTGAAGGTCTTCAAAACCCGATGTTGAAACTATTGTGGATGAGAACCTTGTCGATCTGGGGTACACATACGGCATTACCAACTTTGAAGACAAAGCACAAGCCCTGTTGAGTAGATTGACAACCTTCAAAGTGCACTCGTGCTTCAGGACGTAGTCTCTGAACATACCCCTTACAACTCAAGGAGAATCACTGGTGGTTGCGAAGAATTGTACATATCTCAGTAGTTGCATTAGCTATGACGGATGCGTCTGATGAACTCAGTGCAAGAATCCCAAAGCTCGAATCACGTTTGCTGATTGGTGTCAATTGAGGCGCCAAAAAGGCATATAGCTGCGTCTCAAGGATCATAAGTACCAGACTATATTAAGAGCTGTACTGCTGTATTCGCGATACATCGTATCTGCAGACAGACTGGGGGGCGCCTTCACAAGTCTTACCATGGACGTATCTGAAACGCTACTGGTGTCGGATGGCGTCAACATATTCGTCTGCCCTCCAGTCCAATAGCTTCCCAGTACAGCCGATTCTTGACTTTCACATATCCGTAATGAAATGGCGCGAAGGCTAGTATCTGGCGTTGGATTGGAGTCATTAGGACAACAAGTGACACTAAGCGAGTTTAGACATTTGGAACAACAGTTAGAATGCAACGGTTTCCAACCTCTTCAGCGGTGCTGCGGAGAGCCTAGCATGGACAATCGATTAAAGAATGTTACCTAAGAACGATCCCAAAATGATCTATGGTAATCCAGCTGAAGCTGATAAGACAAAGTTATGGATCCGACAATGCGTTCTCATCATCATCGACAACATGACATCAGTGTTCAACACCGATGCTTCACTGCCGTACATGCGTTCCCGAAAACAGTTCACTGCATTGAAGGGCTGAAAGGACAGCATACATGGTCGACCTTATTCTTTCACGAAACAGTGAACCTCGCCAAGTAAGGTTCTCACCGTGTCCGCAGTTTTATGGCGTGTTCCCAACAGTGAATGGTATTTAAAACGACGGAACAGAGAAGCAGTTATTATCTGGCACCAAGACCACCGCAACAATGAAATACATCATCATTTGAAAATATTAGTCTGTACACGTAATCATACCATGTCAAACAGTGCGGTTTAATGTGTATAAGGGGTAAAGTACTATACAAAGTTGTCTTTTGATAGTCACGTGATTCAGTGAAAATCTCCGGAAAGACCGCTGGAAGAAAACAAAAGTTGGAAATGAGCAGCGATAAATAATAGACTTCAAAACACTTCCATACTACTAACAGGCAACAAAGTACCACAACAGCCGTCAGTTGGATTGTGTGTAATGTACGTTTGACAATTTTTCCAGTGCAGACCTTCAAAACAAAGTGAAGATAGCTAGCACATCTAAAGTCATGTTGAATAAGTCACCGAACGTACGAAAGGTCTCGGGGGATTTCATGGAATTTATCTCTATATACATGCGTATCAGGGACACCCGCATTTAGAGACATTTTTCATTCCAAAAGGCTTATCACTAGAAATAAGGATACCCTGTTGAACCGGATGAGAGACGTCGAATACAAGTGAAAGAGGTCAAGAAACTTGTATCCTGCTGTCCATTTCCACCAGCTAAGATTGCTGATGAATCGGGGCAGTGTTACACTTTGGAAGCGGGATGTGGAGACCGCCCAACAAGTGAACACATCTGAGACCAGCAGTCCGGACAACAACACTACTCTCGTGGCCGATACTCCGGCAAACTAAAATGCGATGCCTCTGGTTGTGTGTATATTCAGACTGAAACTATCACGTGAGGTCCTATTCCTGGGCTTTCTACTGGAAGCCTACCACCTTCCGTGATGTCTTCGGTGTTGGGGCGTCTATCCCTGGGCTTTCTACTGGAAGCCTACCTTCCGTGATGTCTTCGGTGTTGGGGCGTTTATCATTTAAGCACAGGCAAGTCGATAACACATAATGAGTCAGTATCGAGACGACGAACCATCGCTGTTCTCAAGTCAATCAGCTAAAAGGTGCGTGAAGGAACGTGAAGAATAAAGTCTGGAAAATCCGTTCTTTTCAGATAGTAGGCTACCCAAAAGGAAACAAGTGTTCGGTTAATACAGTAAACTGCAAACTGACACTCGGTGAACCTCAGATGCATAAAATGCCCAGCAGGGACTGAAATCCCACATCGGAAAGGATGAAGGATACAGAGGTCGTTGGAGTTCGCCAGAATAAAGGAGAAACCGGGATACGGAAACCCACAAACGAATTTTCGCCTGTTGGAACAGAGAACCGTAAACTCCTGTAGAGTAAGGTGGGAGGGCTGAACACATCAATGTTCAACTAGTAAGCCTCAAGCCCCATTATAACCCGTCTACCAACTACCATTCAGCGAAAAGAACGAAGTATCCACCGATACAGGTACTGAAAAGTTGGACCTCCGAATTGGTGGGATGTACACTACGGACGAAACCAAATTGATTTTCCGAACGTCAAGAAACACAATACCATTTTAAAGAGGATGAAGTTTTTTGGAATAGCGCCTCCAAAGTTTCTTGAAGCCATCACATCTTTGAAAGGCATACTGTCATAGGAGGTTACTTCGTCACTAATCGAATGCCTTATTCTATGGGATAGATGTCAGCGGCCATCGGACTTCCGACCAATGTGTCCAGAAGTTGTCTCCCGCCTGCCAGGATTCTGAGTTATGGTACCCACCCATACAGAAGCTGCAGTGGAATAACTTTTTCTACTCAAAAGACACTCTAGCCACTGCTGACGGTTGCAGAGCCCGGTTGGAGGCCTCTATCGAACACCCAGTCGAGTCGACAACAAGTATCCGACCTCAGGAATTACGTAAGTACTTAACAACCGTTTCCAAAGTTTACGAAAAGCCACGTTAGGCATGACAACACGGGATTTCAGCTACCAATCGAATATAAAATCACCAATATGCTAAAAAGCAGAAGTCTGCACAATAGTTCACGACCATTATCACTATAGTCAGCTGTAAGCAACGCGCAATTGCCGTAGAGTGGTTACATCCACCAAAGTTTCGTTCGCCGATGATTTGAGATGGGCTACATAGATACGCATTGGAAGCGGTAGTTCATATACAAGGATGTCAGTGGTTATTTATGCGCTGAAGGTAACTGATGGGATGCACCAGCGTCATTGAGGGTGTGATTGGGCAACGGCCCGTGATTAAGGGCGCGAATTTACTGACCGGAAGGTCCGCGGTTCCGACCCGACCTCTGCCCCTGGACTTTCCCTGTCTAGGCTTGGGCAACATGGCAGTATCCCAGTCCTCGTACAACCTTCGGGTGGCATGGCAATTAGGCACCGAAAGGGTGCTGCAGATAAACGATTTCTTTTGATTTCGACTTCTGGGCCATGACTCTCACTGTTGATTTGTTCCACCTGGGAACATCCATCCAGAGAGGTAGCAGCTGTGAGACAGCGCAGCCGACTTTGCTAGTAGTGGTTTTCACACTTTGGTGCCAGGTCATTGTTCGACAACCTCTGGCTCGTTTGCACCCTTCACGTGGTTGTTGGAAAAGAGCCTTTTGAGGAAGTCGATCGACTGGCATACAGAGCCCGGGACAAAGCCAGCGCAACCTATGGAGTGTTCTCAGTTCATCTATCGTGGGCGAGTTATTTATTCCGAAAACCGTTAAACATACTTCAGGAATACTGATTCGTTGTTCACAACATACTCATGCAATGCTCCGAAGAAGTCGATGGGGCATAATTGAAAGAGGACAGCATTGTCTGACACAACTCGATTTTTGAACTCAAAAGAGACCTTCGCAGACCTTTAAGTGTCCGCGGGAGTTGGTGTACACCGCAGGTTCGAGAATTTACGGAGCACACTGATACAGAGACTCACGTGGTGCCTGACGGTTGACAGAGACAAAGATAGCCCTTAAGTCAAGGAAAACCAAAATTGTTCGTTGCTGGAAGCAGTGTGACTGTTCCAGAATCTCCGAAAGGATGAAAATATGAGAACCATCTCGTCGCAGGACCGAACTCAGCTTGGTTTTCACGGACCTGTGGCTCACTGTTAAGTCAACGTTCGAAAGATGAGACAGAGATCGTCTTTGATGCCACAGCAAGAAGGCTCGTGAAACGGTGGTTTTCGCGTAGCGTCCGCGTACTCTTCCGGAAAACAGGAATAACTGTTAACGAGCCCCATTCTGCAAGCATTTAAGCCCGACCACCATTTCAAGGTGATGGGTCCTGATCGGGAAACAAACTCTGACGCGGCGAAGGCTGACCGCAAGAAACTGATACCACCATGCGCCAACCAAACTGTCTGGTGGCTGCTGCGTGCTTCATACTGAGGGTGCGTATGCACAACTAGCAAATGGCCGCCGGCAAACGTAAGAATTTAGAGCGCGTTCCAAAGCGCAGAACTCTTTGCAACGAAGCGTCTAGGTGCCGATCAGTCCAGCGGCCCAACACACGGGCCGCAAACCAGAAACACCACTCATGAAAGCAGACGTTAGATACCGACTGAAGTGAATACGCGCAATTGCACAACGGACAGTAAACCCGGTCTGATTTCAAAACCATCTGGAATCGACCTGCAATTCACACTCTTGCTACCACTTTGTCGCGTAAAGTTACAAAAAGAGTAAAATTTTGGCGAATAGACATACCTTGTACGACCACGAAAGTTCACGATAATCAGAGTCCAAAGCCTTCATGAAGGTTTTACGCCTTCGATGCGTAGCTAACCAATTTCCAAACTAAACTGATAAGTTGATAAAATGAATTGAACTGATGTGCTGACGATCAGCTCTCACCCACGCTTGCGTTGTGCATCGCTTGGGAGTCTCGCCAACGAGCGACAACGCAATCGCATAGTTGGATTTCGCCGAGAGTGCGTGCTCATGTAGCGGCAAGTTGGTTTTCGAGGTGGGCTTTCTTTTTAGTGATGGCAACCTGACAAGATGTTCGTCTTCGCGTCCACAATCCAGATGACATGACATAGGAAAGAAAATGAAAAAGAAATCGTTCAGCTGTAGCACCCTTCCGGTGCCTAGCTGCCATGCCACCCGAAGGAAGCACGAGGGCTGGGATAATGCCAGGTTGCCCAAGCCTAGACAGGGGAAGTCGAGTGGCGGAGGTCGGATTCGAACCACGGACCTTCCGGTCAGTAAATTCGTGCTCTAACCACTTGAGCCATCTCGCCCATGGTATAGGAGGACGCATGATTACAAAGTGGTTTCGACCGACTCGTGTACCGAAGTTACTCATCATCAGAAAGTGTTTGAACGAAGAAAGATATCACCTTTGCCGAGTACAATGAACACGGTCACATAACTTCGGCATGATTGACTCAGGAGGGATGTGGGCTGAATTGACGGTTCGCGTACGGAAAGCACAATCAACCTTTGTTCTTTTGAGGATATCGACCTTACAGATGTGCACAGAACCGGTTTGTCGAGAATTCCTCGTTCAGCGAAACTCATTTCGCCCAGGGTCGAGAACCCGATTCCGTCTGTTTTCAGCTACATCTCAACCAACCCTGTGATCCTTGTGGGATAGTCGGTTTGAACGCATCAAGAACCTTGGTTAGCCCTCACAACGGTTTGTCGTTCCTCGTTCAGCGAAACTCATTTCGCCCAGGGTCGAGAACCCGATTCCGTCTGTTTTCAGCTACATCTCAACCAACCCTCCCTGCCTTGTGGGATAGTCGGTTTGAACGCATCAAGAACCTTGGTTAGCCCTCACATGACCACCTCCGATTTAACCATGATGCAGGAGGATTACTGTGGACAGTCATGCCATCCCTCAGGTGTTCATTCCAGACAAGTGACCTCGAAACGGCGCTTTTTTAACTAGTCGTTTACCGACTTGATTCTTCATAAGTAACGACATTTCTGGCCCACCGTGTCAACAGCCTATACCGAAAGCAGCTACGAAACATAGTTAAGTACGACACCACATTGTTAATCGCAGAATCTATGCAGAGTAGGAATGGGTGCCTGAAACTGTCCCAAAGGGAATAAGGAGAAATGATTCTAGGATCAGATGTACGCACCTGAGCACATTTTCAGAAGATTGAACCAGAAGTGACCTAGCGTTCCCGCTAGGTGGTTGGATAACAATTCGCTGACCTGATGATGGCCCTGTAAAACGCAAGCTGGCTGTTGTTTGAGGAGACTGCACGGTTCGGGCTCCACGTATGGCCGATTGGGTGTTCAGCAGAGCTGGTGACGTCGGACTGAGCACCACACTCATTGGAACGACGGAGCGAGAAACATTGGATGTTTGAATGATGCTGACGCTTCGAGTAACTACCGGGAAATTCTTAACGCTCTGAAATCCAGCCAAAGACGATCTAGGACCCGAATGTATGTATGACACGCCGGTGCCGGAAGAAGAAACGACTGAACTGGTAACCAGCGACGGTTGCTTCGTTGGTCGTTGCTGCTGAGGAGTTGTGAACACGGACATAGAGGGACTAGCTTCCATCGACAAAGAAGCGGCCGACGGTGACTTCGAAATCTCGGCTGATTGCCATCTGGACGCGGGAGTCGTCCCGTAAGTAGTTGAGCCCGATTGCACAGATAAACCGTGGGAACCGGAACTGTGGCTAGGAAGTGTAGTTTCAGAACTTGAAGGTGAAAACTCGTCCTCAGGATCCTGCTCAGACCAGAGGTTGGAAACGCATTCGACCTACAAAAACGAATAACTAGGGGAATGAAATTGAAAACTGAAGAAAATGATTGGATATGAACGTGACAAAGTCGCACGAAAAACAAGAGAACTATGGGAGATTCAGCTGGGGTTCAGCTGATTTACGCATTAGCACCGACTCAATGTGCAAATGAATTTATTTCACCGATTTCGTAGAATTCGGTGTTCAAGTGGAACATGAGGTTGACGGAAACTCGGAGAATTCGTCTACCTGATGAGCCACAAGAGATGTGAAACTCGCCGGGCTATCGAGGTTTTCAGCAACCTTATGAGTAGTGTGTTCCCTCACGAACAAGTGGTTCGTAACAAAGCTAACGAAAAAAAGAACAAATTCGCTCACAGTGAAGGTGGCTGTGACTCAAAAGTTTTTGGTATACACTATGAGACTCAACAGTTGGAGAGACTAAACACTTCAACCATTGATACGACTGTTGACTAAGTCGTTAGGACACTATACAAACTTACTATGCCGTGCGGTGGAACTACCGAGTCAGGCGGACGTCTGGTTTGTGGAGAGGATGGAGGTGGTGGCTTGACTACAGTGAAAAAAAACAAGATTAACACACGTAGGTAACCAGGAACAGAATGTTAGGCTGTTTCTGAGCTTGCGAACAAGAGCGTACCAGTAATTCAAGTAAGCAGGTAAAAGTCTATACAACTTCGTGGGAAGGAGCGAACTATTATTATACGTTGGACATCCAACCGAACGAAGGAAAAATTGGTACAAAATTAGTGCGCCGAGTAGAATGTTGAGGACTGCCATTGGAGCTGGTACCAACGGCGAATACATGTTTCCGCGCTTCAAAGCACGACCACATGCTGGTAATCGAAAAGTGAACAAACAAATGCATTTTTCTTATTTTCGACATCTAATGTAC